GATACCCTCAGTGTGGTGGAGAGTAAGATTGCTACGAATGGGATCATGTCTGGTCCTTCCCACCAGACACTGCTGAAAAAGTTAAGTCAACTGAAGATTAAAATTCACGAGAAAGAGAGCTGTCCAGAGCCTGCACGAGAAGCACGTGATGTTATTCAAAGAAAGCTGGAGATCTGGAAAGAGAACGACAGTATTTCAGGTGCATCTTCATCTTTGAGCTTGAATTTTGATGCAGAAAGAGGACGTCACTTGGTGGCCTCCCAGGACATTGTGCCAGGACAGAACCTGTTGAAAGAGGAGGCCTTTGTAAGTGTGCTCTGCCCAGGGGAAAGCCATCTTCTGCACAACAGCAGTGAAACAGCGTGGGATACTCAAGTCACTAACGCAGATCTTTATTGCCACCGTTGTCTGAGACAGCTCTTAGCCTCGGTGCCTTGCCGTGGGTGCAGTTACGCAAAGTACTGCAGCCAAAACTGTGCAAACACAGCATGGGAGCAGTACCACCAGACAGAGTGCTCCTTGGGAGCGCTGCTTCTCACATTAGGGGTCTTCTGCCACGTTGCCTTGAGGACTGTTCTCCTGGCTGGATTTGCAGAGGTTAGCAGGATGGTAGAATTGTCCTGTCATGATGACAAAGACCTTCATAACCCTGAGGTAAAATGTAAACGTCTCAGTGAGGCACCAGATACAAGAGGTATCCCTGGTTGTAACAACAAGGGTCAATACCAGAGTTCTTACCAAGCTGTCTTCAACCTTTTGCCGCATGCTGAGAAGCACAGCCCTGAACATAAGTTTCTTTGCATGCTGAGTGTAGTAGCTATATGCAGAGAACTGCAAGAAGCTGGTCTAGAGGCTGCCGTTTTGAATCGGGAATCTTTTAGGAAGTGGTCCAAACCAAGGACATATGAAAAAACATGGGGTGAATTATCTCCAGAGCTGAAGATTATGGCAGAAGCAATGCTGAGACATGTGTTGCAGCTGCAATGTAACGCACAGGCGATCACCGTAATGCAGGAGTCAGGTAAGATAAAAACTTAAGCTTTCCTTGTTTTCCATGCTTATCTAGCTTGTGAGAAGTGGAGAGATTGATTTATCAGTTGTAAAAAGCTCTCACTGCAGATGGAAGTGGTTTGCCTAAAGTTTAATGGCCCATCCCATGCTTGCCTGTTCTTTGGTGCAGGGTGTTTAGCTATTATTTATTGCAGCAATATATCAGAAACCTTTCTACTGCTGCCTGCGATTGGTCACAGTGCCCGCTGCGTAAGTTGTGTGGGTTACTGAGCCTTCACTCTCAACCTCCTTGTTTTTGCCCTGTCTTTAGGGTCCGGAGATGGTGCTGTTGTAAATAAGGAGCCTGCGCGCCTGGCGACAGCCTTCTTTCCTGTCCTCAGCCTTCTGAACCATTCCTG